ACAGAATCCGTGTAGAGTAGGGATTAAGAGCACAGGCTCAGGGGTCCCTTCCTGGATCAGCCGTCAGGGGACTTGCACCTGTTTTTGTCTCACCTGTGAGATGGGGATGCTGAGGGAAGGTCTAGCCCCCATCCCAGCCCTGTACCCCCAGTGCTGTCCCAACCCTCTGAGGTCAGGGTCGGGACAGAGAGAGTGATATGAGGGGCCAGCTACCCGGAGGCTCGAAACCCTCTACATAGCGCAGTTGGAAGTTGAGTTTCTGATTTCTGGGGTCCCTGAGTTCTGGGGCTTCTTTTCAAACCACAGGGCTGGCGTGGTGTGGGTGGAAGGACCTCAGGTGCTCAGGCTTGAACGTGAGTCATCTGCCTGCCCTTAGCGACATCGTTCTTAATCTGTGGCACAGACCCCTCCCCCAGGGCGGAGCTGGCCAAGCCAGGTTGGCTCTGCTCCCTGTTCCATTTGCTTGCGGCTTTTCTTGTAATAACGGGACCTTATAACCAGGACTTTCAGGAGTGCACCATCCACAGGGCATCTTGGACCAAGACCTTGACCATGACCTGCCAAGAGGCCCCCTCACTCCTGTGGTCAAAAAAAAAAGCCCATTCCACAGCCCTTCCTCTTTTACAGTTTGGTTTCTCCCTGTCCCACAAGGTCTGGTTCGCCTGCATGTGCTAACTTTACCCTGTTGATGTCTGGCCTTCCTTCACCTTCAGCTCTTGCATTTCTTGGTGGGACAGGTCTGGGTGTTTTGGGGTGGGGAGCGATGCTTGGCTGAGCAGCACTGTCCCCACACAACCTTCCTCGCCTCTGGCTCCCGGGTACTAAATGCTGTAGGAGCCCCCAGTTGCTGAGACAACCCAAAATCCCCACGTGTATTTCCAAACGCCCCCTACTACTGCTGAGCCGTGCTCCCACTCAACAGTTGCTTTATTCCATAGGTTGTGTAACTGCCACTGATCAATTAAATCGAAGCACTTATTGACAAGGCTCAGGAATGATCATAGTAATTGTTTATATTTTTAACCCTAATAAGTGTGAGGGTTCACGTGGCCCAGGATAGAATCACATTTAAAGAAGCACGAATCAGCAACCAAAAGTAATTGAAAAGAAATGCAGTTCCTCATAAAGAATCCACCCACATTCACGCTGCTCGGGAGCTCCTTTCTGTCACCCAGCCAAAGAGCCCGGGCTTTCTCTCCCTCATCCCTTTCCCGTCCTTTTACTGAAACATCAGCGGAGCCTCCCTGCCAGCAGGTATGAACCCTTCCTTAAATAGGAGACAAGAGAAAAAGAAACGGCAGAGTTTAAGTAGGCAAAGGAAGGTTAGGAGGACCCCAGTCACTTATGTTATTTTTGTCCCATCCAAATGGGTACAGAAATCTTCCATTTAAAAAGCATGTTTCTATCTGTTGTCTCTGTTGTACCTCAAAGCTCTCTGAGGTGGGCAGAGGAAGGCTACTGCTCCCATTTTGCAGATAAGCAATCCTCTTAGTGATCTGCCCAAAATAAAGCTAGGCAGTGAGTGATACAGAAGAGATTCCAGTGACTCTAGGCCGGACCACGGAAAAGCTGAGAGGGCTGGAATTCACCCCAGGCCCATTTGGTTCTAACAGTCTGTGTGGCCTTTAGAGAATCTGGGATCAAGAGGGGAAAAAAGGCAAAGTGAAAAGGTCCCTTGCTGTTGCTTCACAGACCCCTGGGATCTCGCACCCCCTTTGCCTTGTGCTCCCTGATTCCTGACAAACCTGACCCAGGCTTCCTTGCGGGCGGTTGATAGGAATCTCACGCTCTGTTGATAGGAATCTCACGCTCTCTCTTTTTTTTTTATTTTTTTGATTTTTCTAAACTTTATTTGATAACAATTGTCATGATTAGAGAAGTAAATGACACATTTAAAAACCTTCTCAGGGCCACGGGATGCCAGAATATTTACAAACACATTCATGCTCTTTTTCTGAAAAATTTTTTCCGGCCTTATTGAGATACAGTTGACATATAACACTGTATACGTTTCAGGCATACAGTATACTGATTTGATGGGAATCTCATTTTCTTGTAACATCATCTAGCTGCTTTTTTTAAAATCATAACTTTCTTAGGAAGAAACTCGTCTGCCACCACCCTGTGGGAGTGTCCCCTCCTGCCTCTGTTCCCGAGCCCCACATCACCTGCTGGGCCCTGGGCTGTCCCCGTTTTCCACAGGCTGAGACATCCCCAGTTCTCTAGATTATGAGGTTTCTCTCTGCAGCCCCCTTCCCCGCCACCCCCTCATCACAGCCCATCTGTCCTTGCGCTGCCCACTCTCAGCCCTTTTAATAGAACCGTCCTTGGGGAGGATGGTCTCCACTGTGGTTTCATAACAGGCCTGGGAGAGGGCGGGGACACCCCAGTGCTGCCAGAGCTTTTAATTGAATTCAGTATTCAAGGGGGTTGGCGGCTAAAAAGGCCCTAATGGGAGAATAGTTTTCCAGGGTGGCCCTTCTTTCAGCTCCCCACCCGGATGGATGGATGTGTGTGCACACGTCAGAAAGGGTGGAAGAGAAAGTGGGGGAGAGGGGAGAGGACGCCTTTCTAAAAATACAGCCCGTCTGCGTTGTGTTAGCTGGTTTCCCCAGAAGCCACTGGGAACCGAGAGCTCCAGCATGGCACTAAGGTGCAGGGACCTGGGTATCTGGGTGGGCAGGGGCCTCCCTGCCTGGCCTCTTCATGCTGGGGACAAGGCTCTCCCAGGGGGGCTGCACAGCTCTGGATTAACCTTCCAGGAGGCTTGAGTGGCCAGCAGCTCCCAGCCCAGCCCCAGCACGTCTCAACCCAGACTAGACTCAGGAGGGGACCCCGGTGCGACTACAAGGCACCGTCTTTGTTAGCATTCTGGAGGGCTGGTGCTTCCTGCTTCTGACAGGATGGAAGGAAGCCCAGGCAGGGTCTGGAGCTACAACCTGGTCTCAGGACCTCCCTGCCACAGCAGTGGGTTCCATCCAAGGCCATGTGCCCTTGGGTCCCAGGAAGCCACTGCGCTGACTCCCCAGTCACTAGGGCTTCCACAGGGAGAAGCCAAAGGAGCAGGGGTGGGCAGGGCGGGGGGCATCTTCTGACCGACCAGCTAGTGGGACTGTCAGCCTTTCAGGGCAGAAGGGAAAGTCTGAGGGCTTCACTCTTGAGAAAGACTAAAAATAGAATTGGGAAGGAAGGGAAGGGGGGTGGGGGGGAGGCTGGGAGGAAGGATAGGAAGCCATCCTTCCATCCTTCCAGGTCAGGCCACCGTGGTTGGTTTACCTCATCGCACTTACCATCAGGGTGAAATCTAATAGTACAGGAAAGTACCTTGGGAGATGTGAAGTGCTTTGCAAGAATAAAGAATTGTTAATGATTTACAAACAGTCTTTCTAAATATTGTTTTTTCCTGATTTCAGACTCTAGACCCTAATTTTCAGTCCTTCACCCAGGGATAATGCCTGTTAACTTTGTGAAAAGCCTCCCAGGCTTTTTTATGGAACTATTCATATTTCTCATAATTTGGATAACACTGTATGTTTTACAACTGCTTTTTAAAAAATCTATTACAACACAAGCATTTTACCATGTTATTAAATAATCTTTTACAAGTTATTTACCCATAGTTTGTCTAGAGCCCTACTTATGGACATTTAGCTTTTTTAGCTTGTTTTGGGGTTTTTTTTGGGGGGGGGGATTTTAAATGGCACTGTGGTGAACATTCTTACAGATAAATCATTAGGTGCCCTCTCTGGTTTCCTTAGGAAATTTCTCCCAGGGAGAAGATTGCTGAGTCCAAGAGTAAGAACCTTTTAAATGATCTTAATTCATTCTGTAAAACTGCCCTCCAGAAAGATGTACCAATTTATACACTCACAAGCAGTATAAGCAAAGTGCCAGTTTTGGTGCATCTTTGCCAGCACTGCAAATGTTGCCAATTCCATTGGCAAAAAACAAAAGAAAGAATATCTTTGACTTCTAGTGAGCTTTAACATTTCCCCATGTATTTACTGGCCAGTTGTAATTCTTTTATGAATTTCCAGCTCATATCTTTGCCTAGCGTTTCTCTTGGTGCATTATGATTTGTGCCATCCTGAAATCCAAGCGAGGAATGGCAGTGCCAGGCTAGATAGACAGACTGTGGGGTCCTGGCACCCTCTGTCTGCCTTTCCCCACCATTGGATCCTCCAGACACACACGTGCACATATGACCCCTTCCTCTCCTGAGGTTCAGAGGCCCGGGGTCTCCCACGAACACGCAGCCATTAGGGTCTGGGCCCCTCTGCCTGGAGGCTGTGGGTTGAGTGGTCACTGTGTCATCCCTCCCTACTGGTGGTACATCATGACCAGCACCTTCAATGTCACTCTGCCTGCCACACTGCCAGGCCCTCCCTTCTGCCCTCTCAGAGCCATCCTCACCCAGGCCTGTCCTTCTAGGCACTCAGGACAGCCCTCAGCTCTCTTCCTCTGTGTCCTCCCAGAGCCCACTGTCCACTTCTGACCACAGGGGGCTTCCGACCCTGTGTTTGGCTTCCCCACACCTGTCCCTCTGTTTCTTAATAAATGCAGTTTACTTGAACTTATTCAAGGGTCATCCTGTATTGTGTCGCCTTGCTTTTCTTTTCCTCTTTCTTTCTTCCTTCCCTCCTTCATTCCTTCCTCCCTCCCTTCCTTTCTTCCTCCCCCCCCTTCTTCCTTCTTTCTTCCTTTTCTTTTGGGGGTGGCAGGGAACATGTTTTAACTTTTAAGACCAAATAATACAATGACCTTCCCTGAGCCAAGCAGGCGAGTCTTGCAGACGGAGCCTTGCTGCCCGGGTGAAGCGCCGCACTGGGCCTGCGCTTGGGAACCAGGGCTCCGGGGATGGAGGGGTCGGTGTGGTCCCCGGTGCCCCTGCCCCAGCCCGGGCTTGCGCTGTCCCCTCCGCCCGCCGAGAGAGTCCGAGCAGGGCCCAGGCGTGCCCGTCGCAGCAGGGCCCAACCCTCGTCCTCGCCTTCCCTCGCTAGGGCTCCTGCTCCACGACGGGACCATGGCCGGCCTGCAGGAGCTGCGATTCCCCGAGGAGAAGCCACTGCTCCGGGGCCAGGACGCCACTGAGCTGGTGAGTCGCCCCTTCGCGGTCCTGAGGGCGGAGGGCGCCACCTCGTGACCGAGAAGGGAACCGCGCGCCTTCCCTTTAGTCTTTTTTTTTTTTTTAACATCTTTATTGGAGTATAATTGCTTTACAATGGGGGGTTATTTTCTGCTTTTTAACAAA